CTTTTTCGCTTATTGAACTGTTCAATCAAAACAAAGTGGAATCGCTTTCTGAGATGTATTTGCTTTGCGAGTCGTCGCAGCTCTTGATTCCACAGAACATGCTAGTTGAACCATGGTTCAGCGAAATGAAGACTGCCGAGAGTCTGCAACAGAGTCATTTCTCTCCAGAAACTTACAATGATGTTAGACTGGCAAGAAGCTTCTTCTCGCGTTCAAGTCTTGAAGATACTGAGTTTTTAGCCGAGTTGTTGTTCATGTCGAAAGCTGCAGAGAGTTACGTGAAGAAGGTGAAAGCTGCCTCTGAGGCAAGTCGTATCCAACATGAGATTGCAGCCAGTGCTCGTGAACATTTGGGAGTGTTCAAAAGTCACACGCCTAGTGGGCTCAAAAAGAAAATCACTGATACCGACGAGTTGGAAAAAGCTCTTGGTCGAAAAGCTCCAGAAAAAAAGAAAGCTAAAGTGGAACCAGAGAAAACAGGTGTTGTTGAACATGCCGATGCTATGTCTGCAAGTGTGCAAAAATTAAAGGTTCTAAACAGTCACTTGTTTTTGTTTTTCTTAAGGGAGAGACTCTGAAAGTTTTCGTAAGTTACGCATTTCATCCCGCATTAGTAAACCATATTCTAAAAAATGTGAAACAGGTACCTCCAGCTTTAGATGGGCCCCTAGTTTTAACTATAATTGCAAATCAGTTCTGTACTTTTTATTTTAATAACTCGCTTTATAAAAAATTTATTGATTTGTTTTTGTTTGAACGGGTTCGTCCTATGTTATATTAGCTTTTTCAAATTGCTTTTCCCGGTAGTGATCTGGACACTTCAAGTCACTTTTGTTGAAACTGTTGTGCGTATCATGGGAATCCTAGAAATTATCGCGAATTATAAAATCATCAGACGGTGCACATTCAATCAGAAACTTCACCAAGCGTTCACTTGGGCGCTTCACGTTAAGAACGAGTCATCTCGGTGCCGATGTTGCTTGTTTTTGCGAGTTGTTGGTAGCAAGAGGCAGGCGAGCGCTAGTCGATCATGCAAAAAGACCACTGCCTGTCAAAAATGAACCAGCTAAAAAGGATCATCCGACGGAAAAGTAGCTGGTAAACGCCAAGGTTGACAAGAAGGCTATTGCAAATAAAGCTGTAGCTCTGCTCGTGCTGAAGTTAGTTTTAGATGGTTCTCCATTCGGGACGAGCGACTGTTTCAGTCGTTGGAGAGATCTGTATTCAAAAATGTTTCCGGACTCAAATTACACAAAGCTGGCTTGTGGGCCTACCAAAGCAACATATATGCTTGTGCATGACCTTGTTCCATTAATAAAATCCAAGATCACCAAAAAGCTTCGGGGCGAGCGGTTCACCATACACCTAGACGAGTCTTCTTACAACGGTAAAATTCGTTTAGAAATCTGGATTGCTTATCACGATTCATTTTCTCGTGTTTGTCACTAATTGTCTTCGAAGGAGTTGGAATGCTCTGTTTCGCTGAACGATATATCATCTCTGTATAATATCCATCAATTTATTTTGATTTGATTGACGGAATCCTCAACGAACTTAAGCTGCAGAGTACAAATTTCGTTGCATGACTGACAACTGCGCAACAAAGCGAGGTCAGCGAACTGGACTTGTCAGTGTGTTCGTCACCGGGTTTGTCAGGGTGTGGAACTCATCAAGCTTATTTGGCTCATCGAAAAATTTGCAGGAGTCTTATTATTGCAAATTGCATGCCCGTTCTTACAAAGTTCTTTAATTTCATCCACAACACCTCGAAAGTTTAGTCGGTACTCAAGCAGCAGTGGACGTTTCTAAAAAAAAACCTTTGACATTTCATTGAATTTGAGCAAATTGTATCAGTTTACGGTTAAGAACAAGAGTGTTAGATCGCCTGTAGAGTTTACTGCTAGGAGTTTGGAGAAAAACTTGAAAGTTTTAATGACAAATCAGGAATTAGTGAAGTATTTGCATACTTTTGCAGAGAAATTACTTAGGTATAGTCCCAAATTTTCTTGCGTCTCCGATAACGCAAACAGTTTACGTGTTACACGATAAACTGGAGTCATTGAGCAACAGCCGAACGTTTTATTCCAAACTTGAAACGTTAACTTTGAGTTTTAATTCAGATGTTGTCAAGAAGAAAGACGAGGTTGCCACATTAGCGGTTGTGTTTGGGTCTTTTTCGCTTATTGCACTGTTCAATCAAAACAAAGTGGAATCGCTTTCTGAGATGTATTTGCTTTGCGAGTCGTCGCAGCTCTTGATTCCACAGAACATGCTAGTTGAACCATGGTTCAGCGAAATGAAGACTGCCGAGAGTCTGCAACAGAGTCATTTCTCTCCAGAAACTTACAATGATGTTAGACTGGCAAGAAGCTTCTTCTCGCGTTCAAGTCTTGAAGATACTGAGTTTTTAGCCGAGTTGTTGTTCATGTCGAAAGCTGCAGAGAGTTACGTGAAGAAGGTGAAAGCTGCCTCTGAGGCAAGTCGTATCCAACATGAGATTGCAGCCAGTGCTCGTGAACATTTGGGAGTGTTCAAAAGTCACACGCCTAGTGGGCTCAAAAAGAAAATCACTGATACCGACGAGTTGGAAAAAGCTCTTGGTCGAAAAGCTCCAGAAAAAAAGAAAGCTAAAGTGGAACCAGAGAAAACAGGTGTTGTTGAACATGCCGATGCTATGTCTGCAAGTGTGCAAAAATTAAAGGTTCTAAACAGTCACTTGTTTTTGTTTTTCTTAAGGGAGAGACTCTGAAAGTTTTCGTAAGTTACGCATTTCATCCCGCATTAGTAAACCATATTCTAAAAAATGTGAAACAGGTACCTCCAGCTTTAGATGGGCCCCTAGTTTTAACTATAATTGCAAGTCAGTTCTGTACTTTGTATTTTAATAACTCGCTTTATAAAAAATTTATTGATTTGTTTTTGTTTGAACGGGTTCGTCCTATGTTATATTGGCTTTTTCAAATTGCTTCAGGAATGGGTCTTAAAATTTCTGATTTTGAAACTTTAAAAGCTTGAATTTTTTTAACATACTTTCATTTTTGGCTGAATCAGGGTCGACTCAATTTTTTCACCTTAGTTGAAGCTCGTTTTTTGATTTTCAATGATTGTTAAGGCTGCTTTGGAACACATCCGAGCAAAAATATGAAATTTCTGTAGAAATAGTTTTTCAGTAATTTTTTCAGTTTAGTTCTTTTCGAAAAAAAACTGGCTTTTCTTTTTTCTAGGAATTTTTTGCAATGCACTGTTTTTATAATATCGGAAGAGGTGCAAAGCATCGCTCTGCCTCTGTATTAATTTTGAAATTTAAAAAAATAATTTTTCAAAAAGGTCATTTTTTTGTTAACTTGCGTTTTGTGACTCCTTTCCCAGCATCTGTTGTCAATGTTTTGTTTCCTTGCGTTCATGTCTTTTTTCCAACTGTCTGTTGGCTATGTTTTATCATTAAATCCTTTTTAATTTATAATAGTCTTTTTCCTAGCTTTTTTGTTTTTGGGCTTTGTCTTTTTATCTGATTTCTTTTAGGAAGCCTTCAGAAGAGCGTCTACATTTTAAGCGAGTGTATATTTTAAAATAAAAGTTAAATAGAAACTTGTAACTTGATAATGCTGAATTTTTATAATGAGCATTGGCAAGGATTTATCTTCTTTTTTCTATCATTTTTTTCGGTGGTCTCTTTGTGGAATTTATTGGATTACTCGGATGTTTCCAAACACTTGGGAGGATGGCTTCAGCGATACGGTCGTTAGTCTTTGGGCTGTTTTTTCTTGAGAACACTTTATCTGATGCAGCAAAGCTTAAGAATATTGTTAGGAAATATTGAGCCTCTTAATCTGAAATTGACGTGCAGTCTGCTCAAAGAGCCTTACTTTGGCCTTTTTTAAATCTATCACTAAAGCGCGACGAAAATAAGGTAAACCCCAATTAATTGAAATCGTTTGCGCGGAGACTTCATTTATGGAGTTTCGTCAATTTTTTTAAGGCAAGAGAAGTAGCAGATTGAACAGCAAAAATCCCAGCGCTGATGAGTTGAATCAATGCCGGAAACTACTTGAAGTTCATGTCTTGTTGTGTCATGTGATTTTTAAAAAGCAAAAAAAAACAATTCGTATCAGCATTGTACGTGTTCATCTAGATTCTGCCTTTAGATTTTAATCTTTCTGTCAAATTTTCACTCACTTTGGTTGGTAAACAATAACTTAATTGGAGGCGTTCATAAACACTTCTGAATGTGAAAGCCTTTTCTACTCTGCTACCAAATTATAAAAGCTAGATTTATTAGTGAAAATTCATGTTTTGAATGCGCGTGTTGAGGCCTGTCGACTAAATAAATAACTTACCATTTTAAGAAAACTTTGAAGAACAAAAAAACACACAAGGGGATTCGGATTTTCTATTTTTATTCGTTAAAAGTAACTTAATTGTTAAACGTAAAAATCACCTTGTGACTTTATAAAGTGACGCAGCATTGCCAATACATGTCATAACGCATTCTTTTATTGTGGCCGGCAAGCAAGATGACCAAAGTTTATTTCAAGCAACAGACTATTAAGACAAAATTTTTCGAGAGATTAAGAAGACATTTTAATCTGTACATGTCCTCAATCGAAAATGGTGTTCAAATTTCAAGAATTTGTAAAGCTTTGATGCGAGCTTAGATGGGGTTTCAATGATCAGTTCTGGATTACTCGAATCTTATGTACTGGAAAGTGTATGTTAGTTTGAACTGAATGTATTGTTCAATGATTTTGGGATAGTTTTTCTGCAATTTGTAATTATTTTGCCAGAAAGTTTTTAAAGTTTCATTTTTTAATGAGCCAATAACTTGCATGGAAAGTCTATGAATTTGAGCGATTGCTACAAATAGTTTCCGGTACCAGCCTATACTCTACGACATTTATGGTATATGAGACGTCACTTCTTGATAATACGGCGCGAGCCATTAGATCATATTGCTCAGTATTTAGAGGCCGTGCACTGTCACCTTTTAATAATACGCGAACCATTAAATCATATGTGTAATTTTTTGGATGGTGTGTACCGGCTTCATTTGTAATTGGTAGACGATTGAAAACCAAAATATTGCAAATATCTATCGAAGTTGCTAGATTTTGACCTGAGACGAGACGTGCATTAGCAGATAATAGTTTTTGGCGACTATCGCAGTAGTTTGCTTTTGACATTTTGAGATTAACTTATGCCATAAAATGTGCATTGTCATAATTTGAGTCCATTGTATTTTTCGTACCATATTTGATTAATAAAAACATCAAGAGCGTATATTGTTATTGTCGCCTTGCGAGTTTAGTCCTGGATTTGAATTCAACTTTATCCAAATTGGTAAGTCAATTGTTTCATTTTCAAGCTTTTTATCGTCTAGTTTTCTCTAGTTCTCTGAATGCAGAAACGTGATTGCATGGATACCTTTTTTCTGTAGCCTTAATTTTCCTGCATTTTTTTTACCGTTCTTAGACCTTTTGGCGTTTTTTGTTTGTTTTTATAAAGTGCTTTTTCGCCTGTGCTGATATAGTTTTTGTGACATAACGATACTATATTTTCGCAGCAGTCCGCGGTTTTTTATGTGCAGAACTTTCTCAAGAAAGTAAATTGCTTAATTTCAACGGTTTGAAGAGAAAAAGAAATTTCGGAATTTTTTCAAAACTGTAATTTTGCATGGTATTTTTTAAAAACAAATCTTTTGAAAATTCAGGTCCATAACAGTTGCAAATTACTAGATGTATCCTTGTGTTTCATAGTATAGGGTATTGTTAAAATTTCTTCGTTGCAAATTTGAGTTCCCTTTGAGTTGTGTCAAAATTTGAATTTTGTTTAGTCTAAGGAAGAGCAAGACAATCTATTGCGGCAGCGAGAAGACGAGGTGAGAAGACTGAAGGCTCAATTGGAGAGATACAGAGGTCTCAAAGGGGCTAACAAAGACAGCATTGCAGAATCCGAATTGTTCGAAGAGAACACGAAACTACTTTCACAGGTAGATGAAATAAATGACTTGAATTAAGTCACCGCAAAATAGGCTAACTTTGACAAGAAGCGGGTTAACTTCGACATCGTAAAATGGTACTGCAATTATCACCCCTAGTTCGCATGCAGAGACTGAAACCAAAGTGCCCTTCTGTATACTGTTTATTTTGTCTTGCATATGGATACTACCTTTTAACTCCTAACAACTCAACGCCGTTCAATTTCTTTCCCGACCATTTAATCTTTATCCTTTATATTAAATGAATGACAGAAAATTTAAAGCCATCTTTTAGCTGACATAAGGCGCAATGGTTAAGAGCGATCATTGAGCTCAACGTTTAAAAAAATCATCACAACTAAGAATTTTCTAGAATTTTTCAGTCAATATCAAATTGACGCTTCAAACTTTTTAACTCGAACTTTCACCATCCAAATTGCTTCATAAAGTAACTCGAAGTATTTCAAAGTTTCATAGTGGGAAAAGTTTGCTGAAAAAAGACTAAATTTTTGCGAACCGATTCAGTCTATGAAATAGTTGAAGTAATTGAAAGTTTCATAGCTTGCTTACAAAAACAAACTTTTCGCGAACCAATTCAGTCTTTGAAAATACTTGAAATACTTCAAAGCTTGAGTAGCTTGCTTACAACAACTCAAACCTTTTCGCGACCCGGTCTATGAAATAACTTGAAATATTCAAGTTTCTTCGCTTGTATAGCTTGCTTAAAAGAACTTTTTAAAAATGGATTTGTTCTATGAAACAACCTGGAATGTTTCAAAAATTCTTGATTGAGTAGCGTGCAAAGACTTTTTGTGACTTAATTTGTTTTACGAAATAATTTCAGTTTCATTGGTTGAATAACTGGCTGACCAAGACTGAAATATTTTGCTCCATGAAAATTTTTTTATTTTTGAGAAAGTTTTATCAACTGTTTCGCTCTATAGAAAAATTGTTAATATTTGAAAAAGTTTTGAACTTAAAGTTTTCGCAAAACCCTTCGGTTTGGGAAACAGATTAAAATATTTGGAGGTTCATCCTTGGAATAGTTTGCTCAGAAAACCTTTATTTTTTTTGCAATACAATTCGGTCTATGAAAATAACTTTTTGCAATCCGGTTCGCTTCATAAAAAAATTGAAAAGTTCAATTGCTTGAATAGAAAACTTGAATTTTTTGTGAACTCAATTTGCTTTACAAAATAAATATACATATTTCAAAGTTTCATTATATAGCTGGCTGCAATAGAAAAACATCAGCTTTCCACGACCTTCATGAATTAACTTAGTATTTCAAAATTTTTTAGCTTCCTTAGAAAAAGTTTCAAGATTTTGTGACCACATTTGGTCCAAAAACAACTTTTTTCAAGGTTTCATAGCTTGTATGGCTTGCTTAAGAAAAACTAACTTTTAACAAACCGATTCAATGTTAGAAATATTTCGATTTTTTTATGGGTCTTAACTTTGAATTTTTCAAATGGCTGCAATACACAATTTAAATTTTTTTTTGCCATCCAATTTCCTGCTGGAAATATCTTGGAATTTTTCAAAATTTTGTAGCTTGCTGAGAAAAAGTTCTGCGAACCGATTTGGTCTAAAACAACTTGAAATTTTTCAAAATTTCATAACTTGAATAGCTTGCTGAAGAGAAAATTGACATTTCCCCCATCCGATTTACTCTTTTCGCCATCCGATGTCCCATATGAATCAACCCTTCACATCTTTCAATCACTCAAAAATTCTCGCATACCTATTCGGTCTGAAATAACTTTAATTATTAAAAAACTACATAGCTTGAATATTTTTCTTCAGAAATACATGATTTTTTTTCGCGGAACGATTCGATCTAGGAAATAAATTGATATACTTAGTTTCTTACCTTGAATAGTTGCTTAAGAAAAACTTGAACTTTTGCCTATCAGTTTGCTCCATAAAAATAACAAACGTTTCAAAATTTTTTGCTTGAATAGCCTGCTGAAATTCTTTTGACTGTTTGCCAACCGATTCGCTTCTTGAAAGAACTTGATTGTTAAAGATTCTTAGCTTGAAAAGCTTGCTTAAGAAAAACTTTTTTTTTCTCGAACTGATTAGCTCTATGAAAAACTTCTAATATTTGAAACTTTCATCACTTGAATGGCTTCAACTGAAAATTTGAAATTTTTCGCTAGCCGATTGCTTCATGAAACATGGATAGCCGGTTACTGTGCAAGTAGCACAGAACGTTCCGACCAGTCTCAAAAAATTAGAACAAAATTATGTTTCCAATTAGGGTAGTTTTTTTTCGTCTTGGTGTGATAAAAGAATCTTGTAAAATCATGCAAATTCTTAAACTCAGTCATCGTAAAATATGCAAATTTTCAAACAATTCTTGAATATAAAAAACAAGAAAAACAAAAAAACTTTGAAAAAAGTAAAAAAAAAATTTTTAAAATAATTTTTGTATTTTTGATTCCTAAGATGAAGCTAAAAACTCCAAAAACCAACATCAATTGAGTAAACCTAAATTTTCAAGGCTGAAATTAAGCATAACTAAGCTAATGTAAGCCTCCTCTTTCGCTCGAAGTTAGACGAAAAATCAAAAAGTTCAGACCCGTTTTTCTCGCTTGCTAGTTATATGTTAAATGAATGACATGTTTTCAGCAAATGAATGACATGTTTTCAGCATAAGGCCTAATATTTAAGAGGCTATCGAGGGCAACGTTTTAAAAAAAACTTTACACTTAATGATGAAGAGAAGGCCAAGAATATTCTAGAACTTTCAAACATGCTTAAGACGCTTTAGAAACATGCTCTCGAATGTTCTAGAATTGTTTATGACAAACATTCAATTCTTCAGACAAGATGAACTCGGTTCAATTTCAAGGGTGGCATTATCTGTCGAATTTAGTTTTTCTCCCTGCTAGAAAAACTAAATTTTTGCAATCCAATTTGCGCGATGAAATAACTTCAAAGTTTCATAGCATGAATAGCTTGCTTTGAAAAACTGAAATTATTTTATACTGAAACAACTGGACATACTTTATAGTTTCATCGCGTGAAAAGCTGGCTCAGAAAAATTTTGAATTATTTCAGGCTGTTTCTTAGACCGAATATATTTTGCGAAATTTTAAAGTTTTCTAAGCAAATTTTCTTGCTCACTTTTTCCTAGCAAAGTTTTCGCAAATGATTTGCTCATTGAAATAACTTGAAATGTTTCATCAAAGTTTCATAGCTTAAACAGCCTGCTTAGGAAACTTAAACTTTTCGCAAAACGATTTTAAACACTTAAAATTGTTTCAGAAATAACTTGACATCATTCAAGATATGATAGCATGAGTAGCTTGCTTAGAAAAAATTAACTTTTTGCAAACCGATTCGGACTATGAACTGACTTGGTCATTAAAGTAACTTGAATATTCGAAAGTTTTTTTTTTAGCTTGAATAGCTTGCTTAGAAGTTAGATTTTTCGCAAATTGATTTTTTCTATGAAATAACTTAGTTTGTTTAAAGTTTCATGACTTGCTTAAAGAACTTGCTTAAAACGACTAAAGCTTTTCGCGGAATGATTTGGTCTAAAAATCTATTGAACTTTTGTATCAAAATTTTAATGGTTGAATGGCTCCAGCAGAAAAACTTAAACGTTTCTTAATCGATTCCGTTCCCAAAACAAAATTGAAATTTTTCTATTTTTCTAAGTCCTAAAGCTGGAACAGCTTGCTTAGAAGAAAATTAAACTTTTCACGAACCGATTCGGTCTATTATATATGTTGGAAATATTTCAAAAACTCAAAGCTTGAATAGTTACTTGAAAGTTTAAAACTTTTTGCGAACTGATTCAGTTTTTCATAAATCAAAGTTTCATAGCTTGATTAGTTTGCCTGCAAAAACTTTTTTTTTCGAACCGATTCGATCTATGAAATAACTTTAAATGCCAAAGTATCTTTGCTTGAAAAGCTTGCATAAGAGAACTTTTCTTGAACAGATTCGCTCTATGAAACAACTTGAAATATTTCGAACATTCATTGATCGAGTAGCTTGCATAAAAAACTTGGTTTGTTGTAAAGTCATTTGCTTTGCGAAATAGTTTCAAAGTTTCATCAATTGAATAACTGGCTGAGAAAGACTGAAATTTTTCGTAAAACGTTTCGCTCCATGAAAGAACTTTAACGTTTTGAATTTAATCGCTAGAACTTAAGTTTTCTCAAAAACCATTTAGTTTAAGAAACTGAATTGAAGATTGCAAAATTCATCGCTAGAATAGCTCACTCAGAAAACCTTTATTTTTTCGCAAAACGATTCGGTCGAAGAACCAACTTGAATTAGTTCAGACGTTTATCGCTTGGATGGCTGCAATAGAAAAACCTCAGCTTTTCGCCCTCCGATTAATTCATGAAATAATTGGTAGCCTCCATAGAAAATGGCTGAAGGTTATGCGACCACATTTGGTCCAAAATATGTAGAATTTTGGCAAGTTTCATAGCGTGCATGGCTTGCTTAAGGAAAACTGACTTTACCGAACCGATTCAGTGGTGGAAATGTTTCAAATTTTTATGAGTTGAGTGGCTCCAATTGAAAGATTAAAATTCATTGATTGAGTAGCTTGCATAAATTAACTTGAAATGTTTTCGAAGTTTTCAATTTGGCACAGCTTGTGTAGATAAACTTCAATTTTTCGCGCAACGGTTCGTTCTTGAGTTTTAATCATTTTCAAACTGATTCACGATATGGCTGAGCTTAAAATTGTTCTTTGTTTTGTTTATTGGATGGCTTGATAAGAATATCAACTAATTTTTTGCGAGTCGATTGGTTTTTGGTGACGGGCTTGCTAGTACCTTAGCAATTTGACACCACGTCATTTTCATTTTGATGCAACACCGTGTTAATCGAAAAACTAAGAAAACTTACTTTGACACTTACTTCGGTAAATATCAAAGAATGAACCAAGTCATATGTGCGCTACTTATAGAGAGTTGCAAAAAGTTCGGACAGACAGAATTGATTAAAAAGAGCAACTGTCTAGACATCAACGGAAATTAAAACTGAAATAAACATAACGTCGAAAGTTCATAAACCAGAGTTTTGTTCGAAAATTATAACCACGGCGGGCAATTGCATCCAAAGCGTCGAATAGTAAACCTTGAAAGAGGAAAACTTCTGCTCAGGGTGGCTATTGTTTTTCTGCGATTAGTTTCCCAATTTTAAATGATTTGATCATCTTCACTGCCGTTTGTTTTTTTTTTTGGTGCGCCCTAATCTGTTTTTTTTTTTCTGTGTTTCGGTTTCTAACTAATTTTGCTAACTGTTTTACAATAAAATCTGGATGTTCATTGCAATATTTAAAAATTAGGCTAGCATAATCTTCGGATATCCAACGGTCTTGCATTTTGAGTTTGGCCTGAAAAAAAATTCAAGGTTGTTCGGCTTCAGATTTTGCATGCAAAAAAGCGTCGAAAAGCACTGATTGCACATTTTAATTAATTCTGTCTGTCCGAACTTTTTGCTACTAATTATAATACCAGTGAGTTTTGAACAGCATAAATGACCTCGCCAATCAATAATTTGGATCGTTAAAATGATTCGAAGCAAAAACGAGCAATTTTTCAAACTTAAATGGCCTCTCAATTATTTAAACCTTCTTTGGCCAACTTGGTGTAATTTTGAGCCGGTTGAAAAAATTATAAATGTTTGATATCATGTTAAAAAGCTAAAAGTCATGTAATTTTGCATTCATGGTCGTAGTTGAACCGATCGCTGTTTGCAGCTTTTTTTCGCAGAAAAACGCAATATTCGAAGGGGTTGCCTGGCCCTATTCCCAACCCAGCATCTCATCAAAAGGGCGATTGTGAATAAATAGCTAATTGCACGAATCAAGTTATTGCGGTATGTACGTTTTCTGGATGTCTGCAAGATAGCGTTTTTTCAAAATATGCTGACAAAATTTATTTAAATTAAAAACTGAATTTTAAATTAAAAGCAAATCAAAAACATTTAAAACAAAATATGCACTGGCAAATTTATAGATAAGTTCAGTCTTTATGCACAGACAATGTTTTGAGCCCTTTCATTTAAACTGCGATGCCTGTTTCTTGTTATGGCCACTGGACGCACCGAAGAAAAAAATTTTATGGAGAGGGGTCTTTTTGCATTCTGGCCTTTACTTTACTCAGAGTGAGCTTCGCTGAAGTCTGATTGTATGCCGAAATGCCATCCTTCGACAATATTTGTCCTAGTGAACCCTCTCACGGCCGTTATTCGCTGGTTCCAAATGATGGGAATAAAATACCAAGATTAGGTATTCTGCTTTTTATAAAGGCAGAGCTAAAATACAGAAGGCTTGTCATTGTTTCGAGTCTAAAAAATTGCAATTGCATGCATTCTGATTTCTTGAAAGATCGTATTGGATTAGTCGATCTTTAAGGCCAAGGCTGAGTCGTGATTTGTTTCCTAGATCACTTTAAGGCGCAGTTCAACATCGCTCATGCGCCTCTGTGAGATATGAAAAACAACTCGATTAATGCTTGACGGTAAACATTTTTAGGAAGAACTGAATGTGAGACTGCTCGCAATGTAGCAAAAACGTAGCAAAAAGCTTGCAGTTAGGCTCCAATACAATCAAAACGTCCAAAAACCGATCGCAGATTTTTTTGTTTTGTTTATTTTGTAGAGGAAGGCGTATATGCAAGCTTGCAGTTCCAGATAAATTAGTTTAAATTGAGTATCAGCGAAAGAATTTTTGGGAGTAGTTTTAAAGGTGCCATTGGTCAACCAGATATACAATTTTTTCCGGAATTTTTGTGTCACCGCTCAAAATGTTTCGCTCTTAATCATTTGCCCATTTCTTATACAGGATAAATTTTTAAAAAATGCAGGAATTTGGAGGTTTTGCTTAACAGTGATGGTTGACATGATCACATCTAGCTGCATGCATTTACGTGCAGCCATTCGAAATGTTTTATTTGTAGTTAGAAGAGCAAATTGATTGGCGGTACTCTGTTACTGGCAAAGCCGCGCTGGCAACTGCGGTAGTTGGTGTGACTGTCTGACGGCTCTTTCAATTGTTTAATGGCGTTTGGGGCCGCTGGTTATTCGCGAAAGCGTTGAGTTTATGCTCTCCACGCGTCTCGGTTAAATCTTTGTTTTTTAAGAGTAATGAGCGTAGTGAGTACTCTTATATAGGTCTTGCTGATTTTTTTTTGTGTTTTTTTTTCCGGGAAAAAGTCTTAAAATTTGTTTACGCTCATTTTTGATTTTTCGCGGTTAAACTTGTGATGTCTTTTTAAGTTCAGTGTATTTTCAGTGTTAAAAGGAAGGCAAACTCCACTATTAAACAGCCAAAGTGTAAAGGTCACAAAAATGTGATCGACTTCTGATTTTGAAATTGGAAATTAATTATCAGATTTCCCAGCGAAATAAAAGTTTTACCTATTGATCCAGTTTTCTCAATTTGGGTTAATTTAACAAAAAAAAAGTGTCCGTCATAAATTGTTTTACAAATTCAAGGAGATCTAAGGCCATATATTTTTTTCTTCGAAATTCAAAAGTTGAAGGCTCATGAACAAACGAGTCAGTTTTTTTTCAGTTTCCTTGCGTTCATTACTCTTCTCCAACTGTTAGTTGGCTATGTTAATGGCAGATGCCCCTATTTTGCATGTGGTACTTTGAGCAAATCCAGTTTTCAGTTAATTTTTTTTTCGCTGGAAAAGTTATTTGTGGCCCGACGCTCCAATAGTTGGCTTGTTACAAGCTGAAATTGAACATTCGAAACAAAACCCACTCGTTTTTTGTTTTTGATATTTTTTATGTTTGTCACTTGGTTCATTGGAGCATGACTCTGTCACAAAAGAATAAACAATGCAAGGTTTTGTTAGTTCATTATACCGGTTCAGTAAAAGGTTGAAAATCAATTAAGAGTTGTCAGGCTTAAGTGAAAAAGACAATTTTGAAATGTAAGGTGTTAAATTTAATGAATTTAAATTGTAGGACAACCTTGAAAAAATCTGGTTACCAATTCGACTACAGAGTAAAGGTGTTTTTGTATTTTGGGGTTCTTTTGTATCAAATCAAATGACAACAATACATCGGATTAAAACAATAGTTTTTTTTTGTTGAGGGAGCCATATCAGTCAAGTTTAAGGCTGCACCTGATTTCTGAACAAATATCTTGGCGGAGTAGAAAATCAACAGTCAGAATAATTTTTCTGTTCTAAATTTATTTTGATAATAAAATACAGGATTGTTTCAAATCGGGGTGGATCTAGAAATGTATCGAGGGTTGTCCACATTTGTGGACGTTGTTTTGAAAATTCGATGACTGTCGATCTCTTTTAGGTTGACAAACACGCAAAATTGTGTCTTTTCTGATAAATATTTTAGGTACGTGTTCATTTTCTGTTTCCTTGCGTTCATTGAATCTTTTCCAACTGTCTGTTGGCTTTGTTCTGTGTTCAATTCTTTTGGCTTAAAATGTTCCGGCTGATTTTAAATTGGGTTAGTGGCCTCTTATTGGGTCGTTTGATGAGTCAAAATACGTTCCCATCTATCTTTCGATTGGGGCTTGAATTTTTTTGTGAGAATATCTTTATAGGCTCAACTGGCGTCTGCTTAGGTATGTTCTGTTTTGTTATCGCTTTTTAAGATTTTTCCGATGCTAATTTAACATTCATTTGACTTACTTGGCATATTTTTTTGCAATATGAACTTCATTCAAAACGATTCGAGCGAGACAAAAACTTTTTTGGTATATCAAATTTTTGTTCGACATACAAAAAAATTCGACTAACCAGCTTTAGTCTCACTTTCTTTCAGCCAGTTTACCATGTTATATTTGTGTTGAGTCTCAAGTAGCGCAAAGCTCCGCTTTGCTTCTGTGTGACAAAGTTAATTGAATTTTTCTAATTTGAAGTAGGGTAGGGGAGTGATTTTTTTGTTGCAGTAATTGTTTTAAAAATATATCTGAAATAAAGTGCGAAACCTCTCCGACCTTCCAGCCGTCTTGTTTGTTATGTTTCAGATCTCTGAGTTACAGAAAAGGTTTGAGGACCAAAAATCATTGGAGATGATGGCGAGAAGAAGAGAATCGACGGAGCGGGAAAAACAGCAGAATCATCCCCCGCCTCCTCCAAATCCAGGACAGAATTATAAACCTAAAAATGGCTTTGACCCCTCTGTAAGAACTGATATCTTCTAAATTGCTCGTAATTTTAGTAAAATATTGACTATACCTGAAAGTGTGCGTGATAATACTTTTTGTATGTTTCAATTTAATGAAACACGTGAATGATTTCCATTATTGGGAATCATCAGAATTTCTAGCTCGCGGATCACCGTTCTCGGAAGCGGGCGGTCCACGAGAATTTGGCGTAGAAAACTGGAAAATTGATTTTCCTTTCAGGTCTTGGACAAGCTGAACATGCATATTGATGCACTCGAGAGAGAATTAGAAAAGGAGAGAAAAAAGTCACAGTTGCTGAAACAGGACAAAGATGTAAGCGGTTAAGAATGATAATATAAAATATTTAAGCAAACGTGTATTTAACGTCTTTTGATTTCTGAAAGCATCCATTTCAAGCAAAAATACAAAAAGCCAAACGCAAGGAGGATTGAATAACTTGGTAGTGTGATTTATTAGTTATCATATTCATTAGTTATCATATTCATTAAAGCGTAATTAAAACTTTGATCTTAATTTTTCATACACGAGAAGCCGACTAATCGTAATAGGAAGACATTCCTAGCTAATTTGCAATGATAGCGAGAACTAATTTCAATTTCTAGATTCAATATTTAAATTTGTTGAATGATGTGCACGGTGAGAATTTTTTGTAAAGTTTTTGGGGGTATATTCTGTTGTACTACGTAAAATTGCTAAGTTGTCAGTTGAGCTTCATTTATAAAGCTTCTCGTTTCAAATGAAAATATAGATTCTTTTTTGCAAGAGTTAATTTCAACATCAAGCTCGAGCATGCCGAGTTTTTCCAAATATAAAAACGCGAGCAATTTTGGACCCATTGTTTGGCAGTTTCTTTCCAAAGCAGATAGAAACTAGTTGTGGGTTTTGTCTTTTAGCGACTGAAAGAAGCCGTCACTGAGCTTCAAATGAGAGAGAATGAGCGAATGCACAATGGCACTACACAGTCATCTGGGAGTGACTCAGATGAAGTGAGTCAGCTCAAGGCGGCACTGGAGTCAGCCAAAAAGGAAAGAATGGCATTACAGGAAGACAGAGAGCGGGAGAGGAAAATGTTCATTGAAAACAACGCTAGAGTAAGGATTTTTTTTCGATCTGTCTTTGGGGGGGGGGGGGGGGGTACTCAGGATGTTGAAAAAGCTCGAAAAACTGTGCTACCTTGAAAACATTGAGAAATTGGGAACATTGATACAAACACTGCTTATGATTATACTTGCGAAGCGAGTGTATTAGTACGAACCTTCTTTTTTTCCAATCTAAGTCCGAAACATTGGTGCCACTTTTGGGGCACCTTTACAGCGTTTTCATACCATATGCGTTGACATTCGAAATGTAACAAGTTAACACAGTTGATGCATTTTTAATTCATTAAATGAACCGAAAAAAGTGATTTGTTTCAAACAACATAACAATAATCAAAACTCGATTTCAGAAAATTTCTAACTCATTATATTTCGCAATTTTTAGAAATGCGTAATTTATAGATAATGCGGCTTTATGCTTTGCAATTTGGTTCATGCAAAGTTAGTGTGGATGCCTTCGTTTGTTATTTTCAGAAAACTTATATCAACTTTTTTTTCGAAATTCTCAACCTTGTTGTTGGGTTCTGTCAGGGTAATCTCAGGGGTTGCGAATCTTGCCTCCAAATATGGCTGTTCAAATCCTTGTTATTTCGAGATATGACGTTTTTGAGATTTTTTCAAAAAAACTTCAGAAAATTAATTTTTTTTTTTTAAATTTGAAATTCCTGACTTTGTAGTTGTGTGGTGTCAGGGTACTCTCAGAAGTTACAAGCCTCTTCAAAATTAAAAAAAATTAACCTACAAAAAAATTCACAAAATATGTAACTACTCACTTGATGAAGATAAGCGTACACCCAAGCGTCGTCAATCTTGCCTCTAAATGTGAATGCTCAAATCTTTTAAGTTTTCGAGATAGCGTTTTTTTAATGATTTGTTCTTTTTTTCGGGAAACTTAGGTTCAAAAAAACTCACTAGATTTGACATTCCCAGTCTTATATTAGGGTGGTCTCAGGGACTCTCAGTGGTTGCAAATCTGGCCTCCAAATTTCTCCAGAGGCCGTTAACGTTTTCGAGATGAGGCTTTTATGGTTTTTCAAAATTGGGTTTCAAAAAGTTTTTTTTTAAAGTTTAAAATTACCAACCCTGTAATTGGGCGCAGTCAGAGTACACTTAAAGGTTGCAGATCTTGTTTCCAATATATGCAGTTTTTCGTGAGTTGTCGAAAAATTCGAAGGTGCGTTACGCGCTAGTTCTTTTTCTTTCTTTGTTTCTTATTTGTCTGCACATTTAAAACGGAACAATTTTTCTTCTAGGTTACCGTAATCGCTAAGCATCAAAATGACTTACATAATCTCAATTGTAGTGATAGTGTGTTTTTTATGTATGTATTGTATCGCAAGTGCTGCGAAGCACCGCTTCGACTCTGTGGGTCAATTTTGCTCTGACAATTGATTTCTAAAAAGTTATCATAGAAGGTTTTTTTTTCAATTCGTCAATTGAACCGAAAACAAAACAATTTGTTTCATACCACAGTATAATAATTAAAATCCCATAAATTTTCCAACTCAATATATTTTGCGAGGTTTTGGAATGCAGAATTTATACGCAATTTGGTTGAATACATTTTAAATTATTACATGCAAAGCTTTTCGTAGTTGCCATTTGTTTGTTACATTCCTAATTAATTCATACAAACAGACAATTACGTGTTAGCATGAAATATTTCTTATAATCTGGAAATTGTAATTAAAAGATATATTAATCGAATACTCGCAAAAAAGTTCTTCTATCAGCCAGTCCCAAGCAGTTTTTCATCTCGAAAGTGTGAATTAATTTTTTTCGTGTCACCCCGAGCCCTATCGTCTACATCACGTAAACTGTTAACTTAAGTTAATAAAAGGAATAAAAATTTTGTTGTAATCAAAGCATTTTAGAGTATTGAACGTTGTGGGTGCTCTTACATAGGTCTTGGTGATTTTTTTTTCAGGAAAATGTCTTAAAATTTGTTCACGCTCGTTTTTGATTTTTGGCGGTTTGACTTGTGATTGCTTTTTCAGTTGATTTCTTTGGTAAAAGGAAGGCAAACTCCACTATGGAACAGTGAAAGAGTAAAGGTCACGAAAAACGTGATCGACTTCTAGTTCAAAAGTGGAATTTAATAACTTAGTTATCAGATTTCACAGCGGAATTGATCTAGTTTTCTCAAATTGGGCTATTTTTATCAAAAAATTATCAATCATGAGTTGTTCTTGAAAATCAAAGAGCTGTACAGGCATAATTTTTTTCGCCTAAATTCGAAACTTGAAGTTTTTTCAAAAAACAAGTCAGATTTTTTTTCTGTTTTTTTTTTAGTTCATTACTCTTTTCGATCTGTCAGTTGGCTATGTGTTCAAATTCAGTTCAGTTCGTTTGTTAAAAGGAAGGCAAACTACACTATCGGACAGCAAAAGTGTTAAGGTAACGAAAAACGTGATTGATTTTTAATTTCGAAAAGGAATTTGACCATCAGATTTCTCAGCGAGGTAATAATTTTACCTATGATCCAGTTTTCTCAAATTGGGTTAATTTTATCAAAAAAGTGTCGATCATAAATTGTTCTAGAAATTGAAAGAGCTTTAAAGTTATCTACTTTTTTCGGAAATCTTGAAAAAACATGTCAAGTGTTTTTTTTTTGTTTTGTTGCGTTCGTTGACTTTTCCAACTGTCTATTGGCTATGTTTCATAGTTTTCAGGTGGTTTAAACAATTCTGTCCAATGGCAGGCATTAGGCATCTTTATTTGATCTCTTAAATGGATGGATTTCTTTATAGGGTGACAGAAATAGAGTTGAGATGATGGATCTGAAAAAGGACTTCGATGACATGCAAGCTGCGGTGCTTCAGTTACAGCACGAGCTCAAACTCAGAAACGAAACGGTGAGACAAATTTATGGAATTACGTTTCTTCGAAAGAGAGAATCTATCAAAGGCTGGCTGCTAGGCTGTGTTAAGAGATAGGATAGTCCAATTGGTATGATTTAATAAACTGAGTGATGGTCTTTTTTGTGACTCAACGCGGTTCACAAAAATGTATCATTGAATGAAGTGTAGATTTCCCATCGGAATAATACTTTTTGACCCAGTTTTCTCAAATACGGCTATTTTCATCTATAAAGTGTCAATCGTAAAAGATTGGCGAAATTCTAAAAGGTTTCACTTGAAGGCATTGACACTTTTCCAAATGTCTGTGGCTTTGTTTTTTTGCATTAAGAGCTTCAGCGTTATAATCCTTGTTGTTTCACCAGGGGTGGATCTAGGATTTTCAAGAGGGGGTGGATTTCAAAAAAATCTTCGAAAATTGTATCGACTCTATTTTAAAGCAACCAAATTGATTTTCTAAGCTCTCACAAATCACTATATAGACCCTATTTTGGCCACATTTTCTGCGCCGCATGCACAATTTCGAAAAAAAGGTTTTTGAAAATCCCGAAATAAGTCATTTTTGGGCTTTTTTTTGGAAAATGTTGACCAAAAAACGCGTTTTTGCGGCACGTGCTTCCTTCCTCTGCTAAATTAGGATATACTGGCGCCGAAATTTTAGATTCCGTCAGCCATCTTAAAAAGGGACACTTCGGATCGGCGGGGGGTCGAATTCCTGAGGCGGGAAGCGTTAAGCGTTCCCCCACACCTAAATCCGCTACTGCATTTCACTACTTAATTACAATTAATATACCAGCCAACAAGAGAAGAAAACAACCAGTATTTTACATTGTGTTCGGTCCAGTAGTTCAGAGGTATTCTAAGCACTAGAGCAGTTTAGTGAATATGAAAGCGATGTAAGGTATATACAATTTATGACCTGTGAAAACGAAAAAGGTCCATTTTATTGAAACTTCTCTGAGCCGTTTTCTGAAGTTGATTTACCAGTAGTCTCTAGATATGACTTCAAATGATCATGCTGTTTTTTTTTGACATGATCGCAATTGAAAACTAAGTTGCTGATGCTTATCATCTTGAAAACGAAGCTAGTCTAGTTAATTGAAACTGCTCTGAACCGTTTTATCTCGTTGATTCGTACTCTTCGCATTTCATGTTGAAACAGAAACATGGAATTTATTGTGCACACAAAGCGTGAAGCCGATACTAAAAACAATCTGTTAATATCCATTTGCAAAATGAATGAAAACAAAAACCTAAAGTATTTGGAATATCTCGTATAACGTTGGCAAAAAACGACTCTGTTCGTGAAATATGAACGTACGAACACCTCTACTCGTAACATACGAATATACGATCGGCCATCACGAGACATAACGAAGCTAAAAACTAACCTCTTATTTGCAACGACAAATAGAGAGATTTCCAAATGAAGTATAAATAGATGAAAGCTACTGAAATTCATTCCAACCTTTTTCTCTAAAAGCACCAACCAATTTCACTTAAAACCTCAACCCAAACATCTCCAATCCAACCCTTAAAATAAACATAGAGTCTTAAGGCAAACTTGTAGTAAATTAATACTAATTCTTTTCTAATAAAATATTTTCAAGCTTATTTTAGATTTCCTTTATTAGATGCAAGCGTTATGTCAGACTTACTAAGGAAATACTATTACTTGCTAAGGTAATAGTACCCGCATTCTCCAGATATGATTTCAAATGATCATGCGGTTTTTTACTTGTTTAAGAGTAATAGTCGTAGTGAAGACTCTTAAACAGATCTTGGTTTTTTTTCAGGAAAAATTCCTTAAATGCTCGAAATACTACAGATGTGCATTCATATTCATACGTATTAATGCATTTATGAATGCAATTAGTTATATATGCTTTTTTGAGTTCAATTGAAATTCATCAGCTGAAATTTGCGTAAATAGCACTCTGCATATACGAACTTGGAAATGGTGCAAAAAACGGGAACAATTTCTAGATCCGAAAGTGGAATTTAATTTATAGATTTCACAGCGGAATAGAAACTGTACTGATTGATCCAGTTTTCTCAAATCGGGTTAATGTTATCAAAAAAGCGTCCATCAGAAATTTTTCAAGAAATTCAAAGAGCTTAAAGTGCATCTATTTTTTCTTCGAAATTCGAAAGTCAGTGTTTTTTTTTCTGCTTACTTGTGTCCATTACTCTTTTCCAACTGTCAGTTGGCTATGTTCACTATTATAAGCCAAGTTTGTGATGCTTATCATCTTGACTTTGTGTAGATTGTGGATCTGCAGCAACAATTGATTTTCTTCCAAAACCTGGACAAGAAGAAGAGCGACCCGAGGTACAATGAATCAGAGTCGGGTGGTGGAAAGCCAGGTAGGCCGACTGCATCTGCGAAAGAGGAAGTGGGAGGAGAATCCCCGGTGTACGAGTGCTCTCGATGTCATCAGTATTTCCAGGACATGTCTCAATTTCAAGTTAGTATTTCAAGTTAGTATTAGTTGAACAAGCAAGTGGATGATGTATCAAAAATATATTTTCGTTCTAGGGTCACATTACGCATTGTCTGGAGTTCCGACTCTTCCATTCGAAAGGACGAAGTAAAAGTGTGGAGCCTCTCTCCCAACCGAAATCCCAGTTGTCGACTGGAAATCTATCCAAACCAAGTCCTTTCCCTTCTTCGACTCTGGGCACAGACAAAGACAGTGGGTCGGCAATTTTAACCAAGTATTCGTACGACAGTTTGAGATTATCAGGATTGACTAATAGCTCGTCACAATTGAAGATAACGGCGATCGATAGTCGCCACGAGCATCCAGGGAGCGACAGAGGTCGGGCAAACTCAATTGGAGGCCCCAAGGTGAATAGACGAGGGCCTGTTCAGAAAGGAATTAACCAAGCTTTTGTTTATGACCAGGATAGAGGAAAGGCATTTTCGAATCCTCATCTATCGAGTCACCAGAAACAAAACTCAATGGGAAGTTCAATGGGAGGCTTTGATTCGGATTGGTCCGATTACAATTCCGCAAACAATTTGAACATTTCAACTGAGCCTGAAAGCAGCGAAGTTAAGGACATGCCACAAATTAGGCTCGAATTGGCGGGAAATATGACATCAAACAGTTCGGTGGATCCCGAAAACGATGAGATTATAAAACCGGTGGTACGCTTGAAAGTTTCGTCGGCACCTAGAGCAATGTCTTCTCCGGTTAGTACTAGCCTCGACCGACAAAACGGAAAAGGAAATGTACAGCCTGTTCGAGAGCAGACTTCACGATATGATATCGACAGATCGAGAAGCCCACAGGCTCACCCAGCTTCCGACTTCCCAAACAACGTAAAGTTCCCCCCCGCGCAAAATAACAACCAAATACGTCATTTGGGACATGTTAATCACAATTTAAAGGCAAGAAACTCGCCAGCAATTTCGAGTTCTTCAAGTGATGGAGTTAGATCAGCGTCTATCAATTTAAGAGAAGAAGTTTTAGTTAGAAAAGACCAACCGGACTCGGCCTTTTCACAATTTTCTGAATCGATGAGTTCGATGCCCTTGCAAAAGCCAATACCTGGAAACAGAGGAGCAATTCAAAATCCGTTGCCTGTTGATGATGATGTCAATAGACGTAAGCTAATGAGTCCAAATTGTTCGAGCGACGAATCAGACAGAAACGGAGTGGCACATGAAGACAACAACGCTGAAGCCCGTCGGATGTTTCTGGAAGCGAGCAAACCGGGTGCTGCATTACAGGATCGGATCAATCGCAAAGAAGCACAAGTAGGAAGGCCCCTAGAGCCGCTGACAAGAGGGAGCCTGCTTGCGGAACCGTTAAACGTGGAAAAAGGCCTGATTCCGTCGATGCAAATACCGGGCTTTTCCCCCATTGAAAACCCAAATCAACTGGATACCGCGCGACATATCATTAGTCCAACTATAAACAATGTCCTTGAAGATTCACAGCTACAAGAAATAGAGCCCCATTGGCCTGGCGAGAGAAGATACGAACCAGCGCATTCTTTTCAAGCTGACATGCACAAAAGATTATTGCCACCAAAAATGGATAAAGAGAACCCGAATGCTCCGAGGAGTTCAAATGAAAGAAGACGAAGTATAAAATTCGAAGAAAATGAGAGACTCGTTAAGGGGGCGGGGTATTCCGGCAGCAGACCTCCATCAGGAGGCGATGTGCGGCGGCCTAATGGTAGCGAAAATCCAAGCTCTATTTTGAAAAACAAGGCACCGGAAGGAGGCATGCAGATAGTTGACAACTTGGGCCCTGTTGAAGGGTCATCTGAAAATGGAATGGATCCGCCCAAAAGAGGGCAAAAGAATAACAGTTTTCAACGTGGTTATGAGTCCGATTCGAATAACAGTGGAAAGATGAGCAGCGACAAGGAGAACTCATTAAACCGATCTAAACAATCGAACAGATCGAAATCTCCGTCGTTTAAGAATTTCAGAAACAGATTTTTCTCTAACTCAGATGACAAAAAGGAGAAAGATAAACATAAAGATAAGAAAAACAATACACAGGCTGGGAAAAGTCGAGACAAACGGGGTTCACGACCTTCAGTAATGGCTCAGTCACCATCGCCGGTCAACGACAGTTATGCTTTCTCGGGCCACGAGCAAAGAGGACGCCCTATGAATAGCGAGAATAGCGACAACCGAGGAAGGTATAGGGGACCACAAGGTCCTGCACGAGAACAGAATGGATTCCAGAACGGTCCAGGACCAGAACAGCAAATCTACCCTCCGCCTCAGCATCGCCCGCAGTTCAGTGCTGAAATGCGAGTCGGAATTCCGACAGGACCTCAGTACAGGCCATCGCGAGTCAGATCCCAGCCGCCTGTTCACCATGGACCCACACGACCTCAAAATGCGGAAATTACGACCGATGTATAAAATTGTAATGTTTTGTAACTATTTCGATTTTTAGAGACTAGACTCTTTTCTAGAAATATTTATCACTGACCATATCAAATAACAGTGAATCTATCGCGCAAATGCCTTTGAGCAAATGCTTTTTATCATTGCACATATCGGTTGCTTTTAGCGTTTATATAATCTATACTTAAAGTTTTACTGACATTTTTCTGCTAATTTAGTTTTTGATTTTGTATTTTGATCAAATTCTTGAGTCTTCAGGTTTGAAGAAAAAAGTGGGAAACATTAGCCGGAAAATCCATCAAGTACCAATATAAAAAGAAATTGACTATGCTGTATAGCCTTTCATAGGTCCTCTGCGAATATCAGAAACCACAATTATCATTAATTATTAGATAAAAGCAACAGCTTTGTAGAATATCATACCTCATTTAGTAAAGAACCTTTGCTCCGCTGGTTTTTTATTCGAAGCGTGTGCTGTGCCATACTGCGCGGAATAAGGGGAACCTCTGGTTAAGTGTCAAAAACGCAACGTAGTCTCATTAACTTATTAAGGTCGTGTTGATTTATTTTCATAAAAAATCGTAGAATCTACTATTATTGCAATTACCCAAATGATTTTTTATTTCCCTTGCGATAAGTAAGGGCCTTACAATCGGGTACTAGACTTTTTCCCGTAATTTATCAAGTTCTCAGAATGGTCAATTTTGTAGGAATGGTAAATTTCAAGACATGCGCAATTTCTGACAATTCAAATAAAACTACCTCATCTAGCTAGAAAATAATTGTTTGCGGCTCGGGCCCTAATTTTTTTTTGAAATAAATATTTTGGAAAAATTGTTGTTTTGTCGGATTCGTGGTTTTCTGCCTAGTTTCCGTGGGTTCATTTTCCGTTTTTTAACTGGCATTTATATTATCTGGTACTAATTTTTATCGTCCTACTTGTAAAGCATGGATTTTATTGTGGTTTTAGATGTTTTTTTTTACTAGTATTGAAAGTTCTGTGATTTGTCATTTTACCAAGGCTAATTTTGATTTTTTTTTCGGTTAAACGGTTTGGGCTTATGTTGTATCGGCTTAGTGAACTTAAATTGTGTTGTTTCGATGGCCCGAAAATTCCTGCCGGACAAAATCAGTTATTTACTCTAGCGAGCTTTAGTGTATTTGTACGAACCTTCTTTTTTAAGCCTAACTAGCAAATAAAAATTTTCATTGTTTGGTGCCACTTGAAATAATGATGATCTGTAGCATTGGAAATTTCATAGCATCTGTTCTCTGCTTTATTTGAAGCTAGTGTTTGTTAATTAAGCGTCCACTGAGTTATAGTGAGTGAGACTCATATTCTCTAGGTCGCAGATCGAATCCGAGACTAGCCGATCCTTTTTTTTTTACTAATTCGAGGCTTCTCTGTACTTTTTATAGCACTTAAGAAGAGCTGATTTTTTTTCGTTTTCTCACTATTGCGAAGTGCAGCTTCGCCTCTGTGTATGAAAATGGGAGGCACTGGGTTTTTTCTTTTTACTTTTTTGAATGCTTTCGAAATTTCATTTTTTTTGCAAAACTTATAGTACTCTACTTTAGCTTTTTTCTCAAAAAAGGTATCAGTGGGAAGACCGAACACTCGTCTGTGTATCTGTAATCCTTTAGTATGTTTTTTTAATTTACCCCACTGTCTACAGCCTTTGTAAAAGTCTGGAATGTTTTACGCTCATTTTTTTCATCGTTTTCTCAAAAACTACTCACCAAATCTAAGATATGGGTTCATTGAAAAGAACGGTTTGTAGGAAGTTCACCTGCATTTTAATCGTTTTCTCAAAAACTACTCACCAAATCTAAGATATGCGTTCATTGAAAAGAACGGGTTGTAGGAAGTTCACTTGCATTTTAAATCGTTTTCTCAAAAACTATCCCCCAAATTTGAGCTGTTGGTTTATTGAAAAGAACGGGTTGTTGGAAGCTGCCCTGCTTTTTGTACACTGAAAGTCCTCGGAATAGTCAAATACTTCAATTTTTACCAGTCGAAAACTACGTGCCCAAATCTGAGATTTAGGGTTCAACCCAAAGAACAGTTTGTGAAAAATTATAGTACACTACTTTAGAATTCTAGAACACGACTTTCTTTTCTCATAAAAGATATCAATGGGAAGACTGACCACTCTTCTGTGTGTCTGTATATTCCTCTAGTATGTTTTTACTTTACTCTACTGTCTACAGCCTTTGAAAAAGTCTGTGGCGTGTTTGAATCTCTTTTTTTTCACCGTTTTTTCAAAAACTACTAACCGAATCTAAGATATGGGTTCATTGGAAAAAAACGGCTGTTAGAAAGCTCTCCTTTTTTATCGTTTTCTCAAAAACTACTCTCCAAATTTGAGCTGTTGGTTTATTGAAAAGAACGGGTTGTTGGAAGCTGCCCTGCTTTTTGTACTCTGAAAGTCCTCGGAATAGTCAAATACTTCAATTTTTACCAGTCGAAAACTACGTGCCCAAATCTGAGATTTTGGGTTCAAACCAAAGAACAGTTTGTGAAAAATTATAGTACACTACTTTAGAATTCTAGAACACGACTTTCTTTTCTCATAAAAGATATCAATGGGAAGACGGACCACTCTTCTGTGTGTCTGTATGTTCCTCTAGTATGTTTTTACTTTACTATACTGTCTACAGCCTTTGAAAAAGTCTGTGGCGTGTTTGAATCTCATTTTTTTAACCGTTTTTTCAAAAACTACTAACCAAATCTAAGATGTGGGTTCATTGAAAAAAAACGGCTGTTAGGAAGCTCTCCTTTTTTTAAATCGTTTTCTCAAAAACTACTCTCCAAATTTGAGCTGTTGGTTTATTGAAAAGAACGGGTTGTTGGAAGCTGCCCTGCTTTTTGTACACTGAAAGTCCTCGGAATAGTCAAATACTTCAATTTTTACCAGTCGAAAACTACGTGCCCAAATCTGAGATTTTGGGTTCAACCCAAAGAACAGTTTGTGAAAAATTATAGTACACTACTTTAGAGTTCTAGAACACGACTTTCTTTTCTCATAAAAGATATCAATGGGAAGACCGACCACTCTTCTGTGTGTCTGTATAATCCTCTAGTATGTTTTTACTTTACTCTACTGTCTACAGCTTTTGAAAAAGTCTGTGCCGTGTTTGAATCTCATTTTATCACCGTTTTTTCAAAAACTACTAACCAAATCTAAGATATGGGTTCATTGGAAAAAAAACGGCTTTTAGGAAGCTCTCCTTTTTTATCGTTTTCTCAAAAACTACTCTCCAAATTTGAGCTGTTGGTTTATTGAAAAGAACGGGTTGTTGGAAGCTGCCCTGCTTTTTGTACACTGAAAGTCCTCGAAATAGTCAAATACTTCAATTTTTACCAGTCGAAAACTATGTGCCCAAATCTGAGATTTTGGGTTCAACCCAAAGAACAGTTTGAGAAAAATTATAGTACACTACTTTAGAATTCTAGAACACGACTTTCTTTTCTCATAAAAGATATCAATGGGAAGACGGACCACTCTTCGGTGTGTCTGTATGTTCCTCTAGTATGTTTTTACTTTACTATACTGTCTACAGCCTTTGAAAAAGTCTGTGGCGTGTTTGAATCTCATTTTTTTCACCGTTTTTTCAAAAACTACTAACCAAATCTAAGATGTGGGTTCATTGGAAAAAAACGGCTGTTAGGAAGCTCTCCTTTTTTAAATCGTTTTCTCAAAAACTACTCTCCAAATTTGAGCTGTTGGTTTATTGAAAAGAACGGGTTGTTGGAAGCTGCCCTGCTTTTTGTACACTGAAAGTCCTCGGAATAGTCAAATACTTCAATTTTTACCAGTCGAAAACTACGTGCCCAAATCTGAGATTTTGGGTTCAACCCAAAGAACAGTTTGTGAAAAATTATAGTACACTACTTTAGAGTTCTAGAACACGACTTTCTTTTCTCATAAAAGATATCAATGGGAAGACCGACCACTCTTCTGTGTGTCTGTATAATCCTCTAGTATGTTTTTACTTTACTCTACTGTCTACAGCTTTTGAAAAAGTCTGTGCCGTGTTTGAATCTCATTTTATCACCGTTTTTTCAAAAACTACTAACCAAATCTAAGATTATGGGTTCATTGGAAAAAAACGGCTTTTAGGAAGCTCTCCTTTTTTATCGTTTTCTCAAAAACTACTCCCCAAATTTGAGCTGTTGGTTAATTGAAAAGAACGGGTTGTTGGAAGCTGCCCTGCCTTTTGTACACTGAAAGTCCTCGGAATAGTCAAATACTTCAATTTTTACCAGTCGAAAACTATGTAACCAAATCTGAGATTTTGGGTTCAACCCAAAGAACAGTTTGAGAAAAATTATAGTACACTACTTTAGAATTCTAGAACACGACTTTCTTTTCTCATAAAAGATATCAATGGGAAGACGGACCACTCTTCTATGTGTCTGTATGTTCCTCTAGAATGTTTTTACTTTACTATACTGTCTACAGCCTTTGAAAAAGTCTGTGGCGTGTTTGATTCTCATTTTTTTTACCGTTTTTTCAAAAACTACTAACCAAATCTAAGATGTGGGTTCATTGGAAAAAAACGGCTGTTAGGAAGCTCTCCTTTTTTATAATCGTTTTCTCAAAAACTACTCTCCAAATTTGAGCTGTTGGTTTATTGAAAAGAACGGGTTGTTGGAAGCTGCCCTGCTTTTTGTACACTGAAAGTCCTCGGAATAATCCAATACGTAAATTTTTACCAGTCGAAAACTACGTGCCCAACTCTGAGTTTTTGGGTTCAAACCAAAGAACAGTTTGTGAAAAATTATAGTACACTACTTTAGAATTCTAGAACACGACTTTCTTTTCTCATAAAAGATATCAATGGGAAGACGGACCACTCTTCTGTGTGTCTGTATATTCCTCTAGTATGTTTTTACTTTACTATACTGTCTACAGCCTTTGAAAGAGTCTGTGGCGTGTTTGAATCTCATTTTTTTCACCGTTTTTTCAAAAACTACCAACCAAATTCAAGATGTGGGTTCATTGGAAAAAAACGGCTGTTAGGAAGCTCTCCTTTTTTTAAAATCGTTTTCTCAAAAACTACTCTCCAAATTGGAGCCGTTGGTTTATTGAAAAGAACGGCTTGTTGGAAGCTGCCCTGCTTTTTGTACACTGAAAGTCCTCGGAATAGTCAAATACTTCAATTTTTACCAGTCGAAAACTACGTGCCCAAATCTGAGATTTTGGGTTCAACCCAAGGAACAGTTTG